AGTATTTAGTTTTATTATTTTCCCACTAATCACAAGTCAAAATTAATTGACGGCATGTCTACATCTCATTAAGCACTTCTTTAGAAAAAATGGCACGTTGATCCCTAAAGGTTCTCCACTCCTGGTCTATACTGTGAAAGGGGTTAATGTTAAACATCTGATATTTAACATTATTTTAGTAAAATAAGAATCAAACCTTTAAATGCCTTTTATCAAGATTATATTTATATTCTTCTTTGTCAAAGCTATGTTACTTAAAACCCGATATCTCAAAAATTTCTCAATGTATTTCTTTCATATTTTATATACGTGTTATTTAAAGTATGGTAAAGGCAATGGACTAAGGATTGAGTTCTAACATCAATAGTATTTTTATTTTTACTTTTAACCGTTTATTGTACGAACACCATGAATTTTATAGAATTTTCTATAAGGAAATGTACAAATATCATAACTTTTTGGTAATAATAAATATATTTCAGATTTTACCTCATTGCCTTTATAACTGTGTTAAATAAGTTGTGTAACAAGGAATTTAAACATATAGTTTTGAATTCCACGTAGAGTGTTTTGAATTTCGGTATAAATTTCATCAAATTTTACCTAAAACAGCTACCTCATTTCAACAAACTTAAATTGTCATATATTTTTTCCTGTGATTGGTGTTTTTCATTCATTTAAGTCATAAGTTCCCAACCTTTTTTGTGGCCGCGGTAGTCTAGTGGTATAGGTATCGGACTGTGGCTTGCTTTGTCACGGGTTCGAGCCCAGTACCACTAAAGACCCGCCGTGTAGGGCAGCGATGCACGTTAATTCTGTCGAGAGCTGAAACGTCCTCCCGTTGGTGTGGTAGTTAGGAGAGGGGGGTGCCAGCTCAGTTGTCGTCCACGTCACTTGACCATGGTTCAAAATTACGTGGTCCGTCGCCAAAAGCCCTCGTGTAGCTGAACAGTGCGACGTTAATATTCAATCAATCAATCAACCTTTTTTGAACTGACTTCCCCTTTTCTAGAGAATATTTCGATAACGCCCCCTCCCATCCCAGAGAAATAAGAGCGTACATAATACATGGGGAAAACACGAATTAAATTTTAAAAAAATATTCTATTACTAATCTATATATATAAAGGAGAAAAGCGACTCACTCACTGACTGACTCTCTGACTGACTAATCACGATATCTCCGGAACTATTAAACCTACAAACTTGAAATTTGGTAGGTAGGTTCCCTTCATGGTGTAGACGTCAGCTAAGAACGGATTTTGCAAAGTTTGAACCCCAAGGGGCGTTGCGAGGGTTTAAGGGGCGTTATAGATAATTAGTTCCTTTACTAAACTATTAGATGTTAAGTCGTGAAACTTGGTACACAAATTTCTTTCATAAAGTAGAGATTCCCTACATAATGATTTTTACAAAAATTGACCTCCAAGGGGCGTTGAGGGCGCTTAAGGGGCGTTATACATAATTATTTCCGTTTTTAAACTATTAGACGTACAGTCTTCAAATTTGGTAAGCGGATTCCTTTCATAGAGTACAGATCCGCTGCAAAGTGGGTTTTGTGAAAATCGACCCCAAGTGGCGTTGTGGAGAATTAAGGGGCGTTATATATATAGGCAATTAACTCCTTTTTTAAACTATTAGACGTAAAATCTTGAAATTGAGTAAGCAGATTCCATTCACTGAGTAGAGATCTGTCATAAGATGGGCTTTGTGAAAATCGTTTCCTAAGTGGCGTTGCGGGGTCTTAAGGGGCGTTATAGATAATTATTTCCATTTTTAAACTATTAGACGCACAGTCTTGAAATTTGGTAAGCTAATTCCTTTCATGGGGTAGAGATCCGCTACAAAATAGTTTTGGGGAAAATTGATCCCCAAGGGTCACTGAGGAGGATTAAGGGGCGTAATAGATAAATATTTCCGCGTTTCAACTAATAGAACCACCTGCTTGAAAATTAGAAGGTATGTTCCGTTCATGGAATAAAGTTCCTTTTACAAAGATTTTTGCGAAAACGGACCCCCAAAGGAATGGGTTTTTGAGGGATTAAGGCATGTTATAGAAAAATTCCTGTTTTTGGATTTAACTCACTTACTTGAAATTTGTTGAGCACTTTTTTTTTTCTTTAGTTGAGTAGAGTTCCACTAAGAATGGATTTTACGGAAATCAACTCCAGGGGGAAGCGGGGAAAGTTATTGGGGCGTATTGATAGACTAAATTCCCGTTTGTGAACTGCTAAGACTATAATAATAAAATTTGTTTTGCATGTCTCTTTTGTTGAATTGGAATCCGCTAAGAATGCTGTCAACGAGGTATTGATGATAAAAATTCCGTTTTTGCTCTGTTAGATTTAGACTTGAAACTCAGCAAGCATGTTTATTTTATGGAGTAGAGATCCACTGAAAATTGCTTTGGTGGAAATCCACTTGATTATTAGGTTAAGTGAGCGAAAAAAAATCTTTCTACTTCGATTTTAGACATAAATAGAAATTAGATATTATAATTTATGTTCTTTTTATATCAAGGGGTGAGAGTGTAACGGCTATAAATATATTTTTGAATACAATCGAATTCTTAATGCTAGATATCAATAATTAATATATATGTAAACAGTATACATATATGCAACATCGTGAAATACCCAGTGAAGCGGGTGGGTAACGGCTAGTAGAATATATATTTTTTAATTTAGTTTATTTCTAAAGCCTTTAATTTTTTTGCTTGCAAATCTGAAATAGCTATTATCACGAATATACAATTTTAAATACATACAATCAACATAAGGTTACCAGTATTAAAGTTTACTTTTGTTAGTACATAATCAGCGTGTTATTTTAGTCTTTGTTAAACTATATTTGGTTAATTTGCCCATGCCCCTTCATACCGTCTGAAAATCCTCTAACTTATTTGGGGTCTTTTACCACACCCCTGAAGGCCTCAAATGCCCACAAGAGGGCGTTATCGTCTCCGTTGAGAAGCTATGATTTAAGTCTTAAGATCCAACAAATAACATAAGATTACTAAACACATGGCGTTTTAGAAAACTTGTCTCCGAACGTACCTTAATTTTAAAATCTCGAAGAACATTTGTAATATGAATGAAAAATCAGCATAATATTTCAATAACTCAGAAAATGATGAATATATTTTAAAATTATGTCATGCATGTTATAAATAAATAGTCATTCTGTTTTATCTAATTATATGAAATTCCAGTCTTGGTAGCCGAATGATCACGAACTTGTGGTATAGATGCTTTTTCTAGAGTCTTCTGAACCAAACTTTTAGTGGAGATTTAAATGCTAGACATTTTAAAGGATTTTAGCTATAAATGCATAAAAATAATCCGGAGATAAATTGAATATGGAAGGGGACGGGTAAAAGCCTTTTTCGAGTAAATTCAAGAATCTTTTTTTTTTATAAACTTGTTCCTCTTCTCTCTCAAAGTTCACGTAAATGTCTTGCAAACCTTATCAATGTCAATAAATGTAGCTCATTATAATCATTATCTCTAGAGAGAGACCATCAATGAGAAAAGCATGTTCATATTTCATTGAAAGCTTCTTACACTTGATTAGCTCGTTTTTATGCCACCTAAAAGCTGCTATTATTTTCCTAATAATAAATTCAAGGTTTATTAATGTGGCATTCAAAGTTTGGGCCGTAAAACTGGGAATGTTTCTGCAAATTAAGAGAGGACAATGCACATTTATTTTAAGCTATGCAAAGAGTATTTCCTTTTATTTCTGGTAGGGGGCGTTTCTGAGATTAAGAAATAATTTATTTGACTTATTTGTTTTCTTCTAAATGAAATTTAAGCAAATAATTAACACTTTTTATCATCCTTTCTAGCACTTTATTATGTAGTTAAACTTTTTGCTACACAGTTATATAAGACAGATACATAACGTTTATTTTACCTTCGATATTAATTTATGATTTATACTTTAATATGCTGATACGTAATGGAGATTTTAAATATATTTAACAAGTTTGCTAATCAGTATCTAGAATATTCCATCTGATATGAAGCCTACTGCGATACTATATATTTATCAGATGTATTATCATTCGACATCATTTTTAAAACTACATTTATAAAGACAGTTTTACATTTTTTAAAATGCATCTAATAATATTCATCTTAAGGCGTATTATATTTGAAATCATTAAATTACTTTTAATTTTCAATGCATTCGCGGACTTCAAAGCCAGTGATTAATTATAATTTATTATGTTATAATCCACACTTCTTCAGCAGCACTACAACCTGTCACATGCCAAATCTATCTCTGTGAGCCTTCTCCTTCTGATTCTGTTTGGAGCGATAAATTGCCAACAGTTGACTCCCAGATCCTGAGAGCTCTCTCAACAAAATCAACCCACCTGGAGGGGGTCTTCTTTTTCGTGTACCTTGAATTTTAGAGGATGTCACTAAATTAGTTGGGTTTGTATCATCATATCTAAAAAGGTGTCCAGGCCATCCAATGTGGCTAGCCTTTATAAGTTTGACAATATCCGGTTTTTTTAAATCTGCTGTAAATTTTATAATTATATTGTATTCTGAAGACATCATTTTGCTCAACTGCACCAAAGATCATTCGGAGTATTTTTATCTGAAAAATCAGCAGCTTACCTTTTTCAGGTTTATTTAATGGCCAGCACTTGGATTTAAAAAAAATAATATTTCGGTTTGAAGTACCACAGTACTGTATGAGGCGTTCACTGTACCTAAATTTCATTTTATATGTCGGATTTTTTTTTAAAAAAAATAATATTTCGGTTTGAAGTACCACAGTACTGCATAAGGCATTGTTTTGAACGTGAACACCCCTTTCTTTTCTACGTCTTTTGTACTGCACCCTAAAATTTAAAGCAGATTTTCTAAGAAAAATCATCAACAATTTAAAGGATTAAAATTGTTTCTAAAAATAATATGCAGTTTTTAGTAGGGCTCTGATCCTCTCTGCTTGCAAAATCCATCTCTGTCATCTGATTTTTCTTTCGATGCCTGAGTGGTAAAGGTCGAGAATTCATGATTATTGTTTCTGCCAAGTCGTGGGTTCAAGCCCCGGTGTCACTGAAGACCCTCCGAGTTGAGGAATTGATGTGTAGGCAAAATCCGTCAATGCTCAAATTGTAACAATGGGATATCCGCGAGGTCTATTCTCTCTCACTCGGAGTTTCTTCCGTTCAGCCAAATTGGCACTTTGAGCTAGAACAATGCCTCGGCACAAAAGAACGTCTCTTTCGAATAATATATGAATAATCAACGAGATAAGTGATAGAGAAGATGATAGATGCTTGTGGACAATATTTCCACATTAGTTCGTTCCAGAACCATATTCTAGTAGCCACTTTTACGATTCAAAGCTACGGAGAATTTTAATTTTGTAAAGTTCATGGGGTTGCCTCTCATTCATATAAGTACATATTGATTTTTACTCGTTACCTTGTCTTTTCTGCATATCGCGAAGTCATCTCTGATGTGTTTATCGTAATAGAAATGAATCATTATTATTACTTATCATTTTGAGTTTAATTCAATGGCTTCTCCACTCATGCTGCATTCGGATTCCTCCAGGAATCAAAATAATGAGCGTGAGTACCTCAACCAACATGAAGAGGTACCGCGACTTATATTATTAATTTATGAAAGAATTCAGCTCTGTAAAAATAAAATAAATTTTTTTTGTTAAGATAAAACTTTACTAAGTAAATATTGTAAATTTGACATTAATATTTAAGTCACTGACAAAAAAAAGAGGTTTTTTTTAAATTAATTTTTGGCGGGGGAGAGTAAACTTCAGATCTCGCAATGGATCCATGTTATAAATGTAGACATGCGCGTGCACTCTACAATGCTTTTAGCATAAAAGTGCAAAAAATATATTTTATTAGAATTTTTATATCCACAATAGATGAATGTGTCATTTATTTTATGCAGACTACATCTGCATTTTCATTTATGTTGAAGAGGAAGAAATGTAACTTTTACTTAGCCCCTGTGGAAGTTTTTAATAACGTAATTCGGAAGTTGGCTTCCTGTTCCTAATTAGACTATTAAAAAAAAGGTTTATGTCTTTGAGTAGAATATTCACGAGCCCATTAGTTATTATTGCAGTTATTTTTTTAGATAAAAAATTTTGAGCTTATTAGTATGTATGTTCAAAGAGAAATACTTATGATGAAAGCAAAAGTTTCTTATTGAATGACTAAAAATAAAAGTCGAGAAAAGAAAAATGTAAAATGTAATTAGTTTCGTATATTTGTTTTTGGTGAAACAATGAAACAGCATCAGTTTTACCGATGTGCATATTTTGGAAATGTTTGTAAAAACCAAAATTGTTTATGTTTCCACATGGATTCAAGCAGTATATCCCATTTGGATATGAAATTCTTATTGAAAATGATAAAAAAATTGAATCTTGAGAGAAATCCTTTCTCACTTAGATTTTTTCACCAAAGTAAACGTCGCCGTAAGCTGCTTCCTATTGGTCAGCCATCCATGCCCATTCCGGCTCCTATTGGACGAAAATAAGCCATTTTTGTATACTCAGACTATTTTCTTACATTTTATTTTTAATATTTTTATATTTAACTTAAATATCTTAATGTAACACTTCTAACTTTAATGCGTTTTTAATTTAAAACTTTTAATGTAATTTTAATTATAAATTCAGCACTCAATCATGCACAGGCACTGTAAGGCCTGAGTGGGCCAAGTACTCCATCGGAAACCCCAGCTTTAGCTACAGATTATTTGGTCTGTTTTATTTTGCTATCAAATAATATGAATATCCAGTTAAATTCTTTTTTGTTCGAAAAAAGTATAATTTTTTTTATGTGGAATATTTTGAAAATCTAAGCAAATATTATTTCTATTATCATACTAAAACACTTGCATTCATCATTTTGCACTGAAGTACATATACAAGTTTTAGTACTTCAGTGGTAGATGCTCTTATTTTGAAGAGAATTGTGTGCTTGTTTTAAATCAACAATATTTTACCCACTTGTAGACTGGGCATTTTAAATATATATGTATATTACGCTTGTGTGAAATTTTGTTATCATCTATATCTATATATATATATATGCAGCTTTATATAAATTTCTCCTCCAAAATATTCTGTAAATTGTTAAGTAAATACGAATTGTCCATTCGTATCCTCTAAATCAGTGCTTCCCAATCTTTTCATCGCCACGAACGAACCAAAGTTTGATAATTTTACCGCGGCCCGATGGGGGGGGGGAGGGATGTTAATTGTTTTGTTTTAATAATTTTAATTTAGTTGTATTTAAACATTTCGACAGAATAAAATGCAGTTACACCAAAAAATGAATATAAAGTGATTTAACATGGAAAGTCGCACAAACCCAAAAGGAAAATACACCATAGTAAATAAAATAGAAATAATTTAATGTTCCTTGTGCGGCCCAGTACTATTTCATCCACGAACCGGTACCGGTCCGCTGCCCCTGGGTTGGGGACCACTGCTCTAAATAACAACTTAAATTCAGAATTTTTTAATGAATATCACTATTAATATTTGATGCCCTTCGTTTTGGGTTACAAAGCTTTCTTTCATCTTTCTTTATGAAAATTGACACTGGCAAAAAAAGAAGAAAAACTTGATCAATGCACTTTTTTCTTGACATGTAACAAATTCGTATTTCAGTTACACTAAGACTCATCAGCATTCATAACTGCACTTATCTCCTGTCCTCTGTAGCCAATAGTTATATATATATATATATATATATATATATATATATATATTTCTGAACCTATTACTACAAATTCACAATTCGATTACACAAAACCCCAATCACCACTCTATCCACTGTTATCTCCAGTGCACCTCCTTCTGAGTGCAGGCAATGTCCTCAATACTAAAACTACGCCATCCAAATCACTCTTTACCTCATTACGCAGCACACTGAAAGTATCTAAAATTAAACACCGTTTCCCAGAATAAAACCATTTGACCAGCGATGTTTTTAGTCGTGCCAATTTCCCTTCTTTTATCTCTTTTGTCCTCGTCCGCAAATAATTGGTGGACGTCGTTTCGCGCGCCCGTTCAAACACAGAACGTCCTTTTTCGGGCGCATATACTTTGTGCACTGCCATGAGTAAAAAATCCCACCATGGGTTCAAGCTGGACTGGAAGCGTCCAGCCCCTTCTGAGTGGATTACCGTTCTGCCCAGGAGGCGAAGGAAGAGACAAGGTGAGTGTTTACATAAAAGATTTTATTAAAATCGTTGATGGTTTGTTTGAATTTTTCTTGACGAGTGACCCTCAGTACGTAAGTCAAGCGAAACCACTGAATCCTCTGAAGAATTTGCGTTCTCAAGAGTTGCACAATTACGCCAAGGAAAATTGTTCTGCTGATTTTTGAAAATGTCGAGAGCTTGAAAATCAGTGATAAAGTTCTTGGAAACAAAGTGACAAATAATAGGTTTCACTTGCGCAAATCTCTTTATTAACATATATTGTAAAATTATGGCATTATATATTTTGTTTATTTTAATGCTTATTTATATTTATACTTACTAAGCCTTCTTTACATATGTACAAGAATTTCAGATTGATGCGTCTTTTTCCGTCATTAGTATCTGTGTTATTCTCGTTTGTTCCTTATTTAATAATTTTTGTTCTAAAAATAAGAAATGTACGTTTCAAGGCAGTTGCTGTAACAACTTCTTGATGTATTTTTGATCGCAACTATGTATTTATTTAATTTTTGCTACAGTTTTTAAATATATTCAGTAAATGAGATAGTGACAACTCTTTTTTAGAAGTAAAGTAAATTATTCGATTAATCTAACCATCTGTGCTCGTAATAATCTTTGTGGTTCTGTTGCATAGTTTTTAGAAATGCTTCGTTTGTTTTGTAGTTATGCAAGTATTTAAAGCCTCTTTCAGAGATGATGGGATTTTAATATGAGAGTCAGTCCTTTTTATTAATTTTTCAAATTTAAACTGAAATGTTTGAGTTAAAAAATATTGCGAATATAAGCACTAATGTAAATATTTTATTTGATAATTATTTTTATTTGCTTACGCTGTCAGTAAATGTTTGGTTATCTATAACTCGAAAAAATATTTTACTAAAATTAAATATCCCATGTATAAATGTATATTTGTTTATTATTGTGAAACCATAACTGAATTATCGATTGGTGAATCGGCAGATAGTCATTGCACTAAATTGGAAAGACATTTTTTGGGGTTAATAGTAAATATGTTCATAAAAATTACTTTCTTAAAAAACTAAAATCAGTAAATACATGTTGAAATGCATTGCACATATTTCAACTTACATTTGGTTTTTAATATTTTTATGCTAAAAATGTACCAAAATTCTTGTTTCCATTGGCGTAGATAAAACTGATTTATCTATTAAATGTAATATCGTCAGATAAATATTTTCACATTTGATTTTTAATGAGGCCGTTTTTATTCAATTTCTAGCATTATTTGATTGAAGCTCGCATACTTTTTATTTTCTTGTATATCACAGTAAACTTATTTTTTTTATAACGTGAAATAAGAACATTCTTTAATATGTCCTTCATGTGTTTGCACATATACTTAATACGATATTCTGCATACAATATTTAAATATATTGTTTCAAATAGATTGATTGATTTAAGGCTTATTAAAATCGCACTAGCTACAATGAAGCTACAAAATGACTATTGGTAGTGTATCTGGTATGTTTTTAACTGAGATTTTATGTTATTTCTAAATAGTGTTCTGTATAGATTCATCGATAATTTAAACACATACACAATACATTTAAAGAATGCGATTGTTTTTTTACGAAAGCGGTCAATAATGTTCGATTTTTTTACCAACTTTAATTTAAATCTAGTTTAAGTAATGGTTCATACTACCTTGAGTCCATTTGCGAAGGTCGTGGATCAAGTCACGATATATTTTCCTTGAAAATGATCGGAAAAGTGTTTCACCTCCTCTCCAAGTGATTTATGGATATCGACATGTTCCATTTTAGTTAATTGGATAATAAATGGGATTTAGTCTATAACGAACCTGATACAGTGTACACCGGAAG